GGAAAAAGTATTCCAAAATTATGGCTACAAAAGCAACATTACATATTGAGGTTTGAATGGCTGCCTGTTCCATTGTACAACACACTGGAAACTGCTACAACTATGTCTCAGATAACCTGGTCCTTTGTTCTTTGACATCTGAAGAGTACTTTGGCACAGGTCTTTGGAAAGACTCCTTCTCCCATCGTCAGCATGTACTGCATTATTTAAAATTACCCATTTCAAGTAACGACACGCAATGAGATTTCAGTGCATTCTCAGCCCATGCTGCTTTATTGCTAAAAATATATATATACACAGGTGCAGAGTTTCCAACTCTTTTAACCGTTCCTTTTTACATCAAAGAATTAAATTTCTTCAGAAACCCCAAAGATGCATAGATTAAGAAGCAAGCTGCCTTCTGTAATACTTCAAATAATATTCAATGAAACTCAACATTATACACCAATGGTGCAACAGAGAATATGGAGGACAGCAAATAAACACAGTGAGCAACTCTTATTCTTACAAGGCAGTAAGTAAAGTATAATGTGAAGGACAGTCTAAGATAATCTTTCTGGTTTTAAGAGATGAGTCGGTTTTATGATAAGTACCAACACTGTTACTGTTTAAGGATTGATGATAATGTATTACCAGAATACCTTTCTTACCCCTGGGAGAAATATGTTTTTTCCCTGATGCAATGACATATCACCAAGGGAGAAAAAAACCTGAATACTGTCAGTAAGTAAGATATCTATTCTGACTTTAAAGAAGATTAGGACTTCATGGAAAAATCTGTGATGTCTGGTTTCCCAAAATTATTTTAATGTGCCTTAGTGGAATAATGAGAGGAATTTAGAGAAACTCTGTTCTTAATCTTTACTGGCTGACATACATGCTATCAGTAATTGGGGAAGAGAAACTATATTCAGGATATGACATCTCACTTCATATATTTGAATGGAAACCAAACATCACAATCACAAGAAGTCTAATTCAATTCTGAACCACTGAAAAGTTACCATTCCACTTTATTCATTCCCAAAGTTACCTGTAGCAAAATCCTAAATAAAGTTTTCAAAACAAATATTTTTTCAATCATAGAATGTAAAACCTTGAATGTGCCTAGTGAAAATCATTTAGTTTAATCTTGAATTCTATTTAGGGTTGTTTCAGACATCACGAATGCCATTTTTACATCATTTGTCATAATCACTTGTATTTATACAAGGGTTATTTTTTAAATAAGGAATTTTCTCAAAGAAAATTTTAACCTACTACAGGCCGGGTGCAGTGGCTCACACCTATAATCCCGGCACTTTGGGAGGCTAAGGGGGGCGGATCACATAAGGCCAGGAGTTCGAGACCAGCCTGGCCAACATGGCGAAACGCTGTCTCTACTAAAAACACAAAAATTAGCTGAGGGTAGGTGTATGTCTGTAATTCCAGCTACTCAGGAGGTGGAGGTTGCAGTGAGCTGAGATCACATCACTGCACTCCAGCCTAGGCGACAGAGTGAGACTATTTTAAAAAAAAAAGAGGCTGGGTGCCGTGGCTCAAGCCTGTAATCCCAGCACTTTGGGAGGCCGAGACGGGCGGATCACGAGGTCAGGAGATCGAGACCATCCTGGCTAACACGGTGAAACCCCGTCTCTACTAAAAATACAAAAAAAAAATTAGCCAGGCACGGTGGCGGGCACCTGTAGTCCCAGCTCCACGGGAGGCTGAGGCAGGAGAATGGCGTGAACCCAGGAAGTGGAGCTTGCAGTGAGTGGAGACTGCCCCACTGCACTCCAGCCCGGGGGGCCACAGAGCAAGACGCCGTCTCAAAAAAAAAAAAAAAAAAAAAAAAAAAAAAAAATTTTAAGCTACTGCAATAAATTTGTTTATTCATCAAATAAAATAAATGGCAAGGATTTTCTTCTTTTAAAGTGGAAACATTTTCTCCTGTTAAACCTGGCATTAAAAGCTTTAGGCAAGAAATTGTAGTCTGGCCAAACCCATCAAGGATAAAACTGGCTATAAAATTTGTTTAAACTGTTTTTTATGCAATAAAATAACAGAAACTAACCACAGATCTGTCAGTATTTTCAGGACTATTCTACAAAAAGGAAATCTCCCTTGTCGCAGGGGTACTTTATAGTTGGTTATTGTTAGTTGGTACCAGTATCATCCACAACATGTGCCTAGTCATCTGAAAATTCTGAAGTATTGGAAATATGTGCACCCTTACTCTTTTAAACTCAAATCCCAGTTTTAAAAGACCTCAAACTTTGTCTACATAAACCATATCATAAGCCCCATATCCACATCTAGTTATTTTACATATTCCATACTGGCATCCCCTACTTTCCTACTCTTTCTGAAACTCTGCACCTTTCTGATTATTACAGCCATAGCAGCTAATTTATTCAACATGCTTAGTTTGTCTTTTGTTTTCAAACATGCTTGGAGACTAATGGAACCAGGCAAGTGGTTAGAGGGTGAGCACTGTTATGCCCTAGTCCTGACAGTTTGAATGTCTTGTGGTTGCCCCTGTTTATCTTCTTCCCATTTTCAATGGAAGAAAAATCCTTTATTAAAACATGAAAATAATCTGAATAAATTCAAGCTATTGGTTTTAGTCTCTATTGCTTCATTATTAACAAATGCATATATAAAATAACTAGTAACCACAACACTGGACATTTTGAGTCATGCATTAGAATGCTCGTACTCTAAAATCAGAGTTAAGGGCCTGCCACTATTGCTTGCACTTTCATCAGACCCAGTTTGAGTTTAATAAGCATGCAAAATAAACTCCTTGATTCAGAGGAATTATGGAAAATAACAAGGATCCATGCAAGTTTCAACTCAAAAGTTGGGTTAATAATTGCTTAGAAATGCAGGTAGAAGCTCCACATCTATCGCAATGCTGCTTCAGAACAGGGTTAGGAGTCACACACAAAAATGTTAAAATTAGGACCACTAATCAGTTTTAAAAGGCTTATATGCAAATCCTGGTCCATCTGAGTACAGAATGATGTACACACTCTGGGAAAAGAAAGAGAATTGAGGGATGTACAGTCTTAAGGAGCTGTTAATTTTCTCGGCCATTTACTGACGACTGTAAAAGGAGAGCATCCAGAGCATCGGTGGTTTAGGGGAATGGTTAAGATCTCTTAGGCAGAATGGTTTCTTTTCTGATTCATGCTAATGAGCATTACCTGCATAGCTCCCTGGGGAAAAATGATAAAGAACAGGGCTAATACAATGTAAACTCACGCTATCAGTACCCTGAAATTTTATCACAGCCCTCTGCTTTTTAAAACTGTTCACCAAGGGATCCTTCCAAATAGGAAATAATTAATAGCCTAGCAATGTTCATTAATAAACTAGAAGCAATTTGCTTGAACCAACAGCACCATGAGAATGTAAACTCCTGGAGGCCAAGAGTCTCTTCATATTTTTGCATATCACAGATACATGAAGAGTAAACATGAGACCACAGTAACTTTGAAAAGTAATTAACTGTATACTTTCAAGATTATGAAAAACTCGTAGTATATTTTAGCATTTAGAAGTATTAACATGGCTGTTAAGGGTAATCTTTAATTGTTCCAAGTAACTGAACTGCTGACATCATGTAATATGTAGCGCTGTCCCCAGATAGTGCAGATGCCTGAATATTGCTTGGTTATTCCAATGTCTCTAAGACCAACTGACAGCATAGGACATTTAAAGAGGAGCTATAATCAGCTTAACATAGCCTTTTCCCTATGTGTTAGTTGTCATGTAAGAATTAAATATTCAAGAGGCACTATTTCTTAGATCTACATCACTAATCTTTTAGTTTTTTTTCCCCTGGGAAAACAAGGAAATGTAGACCCAGCCTTTTCAGGGATAGTCAAGGTGCTAAAAGGCCAAGATAGACATCAGGTGAAAGGGAGTGAAGTCACCTTAGTTCCACTATTATATTCTGATGTGAGCTGTGTGGTTCCTCAGCTGAAGAAAGAAACTAGTTTGCTGGGTTCTCCTTGATAAAGAATAAGCAGTCACAGGCCATAGGACACATCTATATTAGGCAAGGTTTCACATCTCGCCCACCCAAACATATTCACTAGCTATTCCTTTCAATCCCTCTGCTTTGCATCTTTCAATCCTAACTCCCTAATCATAAGCATGAGAGAAGTCCGGCTTATCCATGTTCTTGGGAGTTTTTTTAAAACATTAAACTCACAAACTTCTCTCCCTTTAAAAAAAAATGTACCCAGGAAACTAATGGAGAAAGATAAGGAGACAAAGCAGAAAGTACACCATTCTACAAAATGAATGCCTGTTGCTAAAACATCGTAAGCAAAAACCCACAGAGCGGCTTCCGTGGGGCTGTAGTACATTTGTTTCCAGGTTAAGCACTATAAAGGTTTAATTTCAACAGCTCTAACCCTCTGATTTAGGAAACAAAGAGGGTCTTTAACTTACACAAAAGTCGGTTATTTCTCACACAAAGATAAATTCATATACATTCATACTGTTCTAAAAGAAAGTACCTTTCATATCCTCTTTATGCAGAACATTTTTTCCTTTTGTGCAGGTTTTTTTTTTTTTTTTTTTGAGGTGGAGTCCCGCTGTCACCAGGCTGGAGTACAGTGGTACGATCTCCGCTCACTGCAACCTCCGCCTCCCAGGTTTCAGCGATTCTCCTGCTTCAGCCTCCCGAGTAGCTGGGACTACAGGCACGCACCACCACACCCGGCTAATTTTTGTATTTTTAGTAGAGATGGCATTTCACCATGTTGGCCAGGATGGGCTTGATCTCGTGACCTTGTGATCCGCCTGCCACAGCCTCCCAAAGTGTCCAGATTACAGGTGTGAGCCGCCGCACCTGGCCTGTGTGCAACTCTTGATTGCAGAGCCCCACAAACTCAAGCAGTATCACTTATTCTACTGTACAACCTTGCTAATGCAAATTACTATACATGCACGAACTTATTGCTACTAAAATTCTACCTCTTGAAAATTACTATTCATTTTATGGCTTTTTTTTTTTTTTTTTTTTTTTGCAACAGGAAATATCCTTTCCTATATACTGTGCTATTCTGTATTCATTACCTTTTCAGTTTTTTTGTTTTTTTTTTTTTTTAATTTAAATGCTTTTCAGTAATGGATTCTTCCAGGCACTAAACTACTTAAGTCAAGAGTGTAACTACTTCAGATACACGATGAGAATCTAAACTTGGGTCTCTGGAGATCTGCTGCCAGAGTCTACTTGTTCTAACCTGTGTCTGCACAAGATATACCACATTATAATAGTTTTGCATTTGCTATCATACATTAGTTATGTAGAATCTGTATCAGCAAATGCTAGACTCTCCCTAATACTGAAATTGAAAAAATCACCTCAGAAAACTGCCACTTCTGAGTTTTCAAGGCAGCTTTTAGAGGTAGGAATTCCTTCTCTACAGAAAGCTATCTTCTTATTTCAGAACAAAACAACTGTTTTATTTCCACAAGTAAAGCAGATAAAAGTGAAAGCTGTCTAAGGCTTACTATACCCAAGAGAAAGAGTCTACTTATTACATAGCAACCTAGGTAGGTGCCACCCAGCTACATTTCCAGTTCTCATGAAAAGGTCTGAAAATCCCATCAACAGACAATTCAGCACATTTGGAAATAGGAAGAGCCCTAACAAATAATTGAATACTCCAAATTACGGAGTGTTTGCACACAGCATGCTGCAAATAGGAAATGTAAATGGTCTGCAGATTAGAAAAGCACTCACTAAAGCAAGTAACAGCATCTCCACAAGACATGCAAAATGTAATTTTTTGACATACAGGGAGTAGGAAAACAATGAACCTAAAAGACATGCCATGTTAAGACATGAAAAGAGCAGGCCGGGTGGATTACTTGAGGTCAGGAGTTTGAGACCAGCCTGGCCAACACGGCAAAACCCCGTCTCTACTAAAAATACAAAAATTGGCTGGGCGTGGTGGCGCGTGCCTGTAGTCCCAGCTACTCAGGAGGCTGAGGCACGAGAATCACTTGAACCCAAGAGGCAGAGGTTGCAGTGAGCCGAGATTGTGCCACTGCACTCCAGCCTGGTGACAGAGTGAGACTCTATCTCCCCCCATAACCCCCCAAAAAAGAGCAAAGCAGAATAATTAAATGGGGTCTGATTTTGACTTGAGGTTTCGTAAGACACAAAGACAGCTGGTTTCCAGATACCTTATGGAAAGCTGAAATGTCCTCATAGTATCTCAGATTTTGACCCCACATTTCTATTCATAAATGAGTCTTTTGGGCCTTAATCTCTTTTCCCCAGGGAGAATATAACAGATTTAGACATTATGGAAAAAGAAAAGGTTTGGATTTTCCACTCTTTTTACACTATTTGTTATTATCAATAATTCATCCTGAAGCTTAAAATCACTAGGCTCATGCACTAACCCCTAACATGGCACTACAATATGCTACCAAGCACTAATGCTTACAAAACTATACACATCTCAAAATGGAAGACATTGGTGATTTTGTTGTTCTTAAACAACTTGTAACATTGTCCACAAGTATTAAAATATACATATATATATATATATATTTCTATTGCACATACCCCGTTGTTTAACTTTTCAAAAGAAAAAATGCCAGCTAACATGGAAGAGCAAGGGAAAGGAAGGAAGCATGGCTACAAATTCATGTATCGTCCTGCCTAAAATTATAGCTCTTCCTATCAAGGGGACCAAAATAGACAAGAAAAAAATGTAGATGTATTAAGTAAACACTGGACAACTACAGCTGGAATATATCCATTTTGTTAAATGCATCTGGTCTGAACCATGGAAGATACAGAAACAATTTCAAGAGCATTAAACACTGGTTCTCTCCACTGTGGAATGAAAAAAATATAAAACATATAGAGACACTGAGTCTGATAGCTATTCAAACAAGTGGGCCAGAGCTGGTTTCAATGGTGCCAAAAGTACAGGTACTCTACCCCTGCCAAATGATCCTACCAAAAACGGTGCCAGAAGTACAGAGAAGATGGGTTAACAGACAGCTGGAAGGTACAAATTCTCCATGATATGACATTTTCAACATACTAGTGGAACCCATATATGTAGGCTCCATTCTGTCTTGAACAATTTCAAAATATTAAAGAAAAACTTGAGTAGGTAGCTTAGAGAAAATTTTGAGTTACTTTTAACCAAAGTGATTTCTACTATGCTTTTATCACTCACTCAGTAGGTCTCAAAAAAAGAAATATTTTATATATAATATGTAATTATTTTACTAAAAGTAATTTTTACCCATTTCAAATGGGTTGATTGACCAATCTCACTAATAGTAAGAGTGCTCAACATTTCCCATTTTGTCCATTTTTATCACTCTCAAATTTTGGTGAATCTTCCCTAACTTCCCAGCATCACAGCATTCATGGACCTGAGTGAACATTCTGGAAAACACAGAGATGTTCCAATACTCTCTGTTCTTAATTTCATCTAATTAGTTTTAAAATTTATTCTCTACTCACAAAGAAGCATAAATAAAGGTTTCACTCTTTATATATAAAGACCTGACAATACATACAATGGTCCTCTGCTGATTTGGAAGCAAGGACAGTTTTCTACGACAGTCTGTTCTTTATAATGTATAACTGTTGTGGGAAAAAAGAAAATCCATTTCTTATTGTAATTTTTTTTCTTGTTTTGAGGTTTCTTTTCCACGATGACCCAACCACAAGTTTGGGAACATTGCTTCTGAGGCCCATTCTCTGATGAGAAAGTTCAGTCCCAACTGGGGAAAGTACCTGAGTCCCAGCCTTTTCAGCCTAACAATATACCTAATATCTAGAGTAAGAAATCAGGCTGGGAGTGGTGGTGTGCGCCTATAATCCTAGCTACTTGGGAGGCCGAGGCAGGAGAATCGCTTGAACCCAGGTGGGACAGACTGCAGTGAGCAGAGATCACGCCAGTCACTCCAGCCTGGGTAACAGAGCGAGACTCTGCCTCAAAAAAAAAAAAAAAAAAAATCAAACATCCAAGTATCCACCTTGGGTTGCAGGAAGAGTTAATCTTATGCGTTTACAAAACAATGTAACTATATAATGTGAAACACCATAGAGTCAGATGGCACTGCATGAGGCATTTTTGCTTCTTTTTCTTAAGGAAAAGGAGTTATATGGGAAATTCTCTCATCCTCCCCTCTCTGACCCCGACTCCTCTATGTCCAAAGTTTTTTTTTTTTTTCTGAGATGGAGTCTCACTCTGTTGCCCAGGCTGGAGTGCAGTGGTGCAATCTCGGTTCACTGCGAACCCTGTCTCCCGGGTTCAAGTGATTCTCCTGTTTCAGCCTCCCGAGTAGCTGGGATTATAGGCATGCACCACCACACCCGGCTAATTTTCTATATTTAGTACAGATGGGGTTTCTCCATGTTGGTCAGGCTGGTCTTGAACTCCCAACCTCAAGTGATTCGCCTGCTTCGGCCTCCCAAAGTGTTGGGATTACAGGCGTGAGCCACCGAACCTGGCCTAGGTTTTTGTTTAAAATTGGGTCTTTGTTCTTATTCAGTAAATCTATGTCACAGGATGAGCCAGGATTTAAATATACAAACATAAATTTTTAGTATCTTTCACGTCAAATTAGAAAGACATATTTGGAATTTACTGCTGCAGTCTCAACTGTGCTCATCATGGTAGTGGCTGAAACTGGAAGACATTTTTTTAAAACCCTGAAGCATCCATACTTGCTACTTCTTTAGTTTTCTTGCTTGGAATGAAAAGTATTCACAAATACCACCACCTAAGCACCTGTTTCAAATGAAACTCAGCCTTCAGCTTGCAAATGATGTCTTTATAAGTAAGCAAACAGCAGAAGACCCATGCAAGTTGCTTCTTTCTTCCTGGAGATGTTGGCAGGATAACTGGAATCCTAGGAGCTCCTCTGTGTTGAATTTGAGAGGCAGAACCAAAAGAAAAGTGGCCTTTTCCATTCCAAATCATGGAGGTAATGTGTAGAGAAGTGATAGCCACATTTCAAGAATAGGGAAAGTAACTGGGTAAAAGAAGCAGGACTACCCACTCTAGGAGACAACACAGAGACACCTAGAAATATAAAATAAAAACAGAAAGATTAGGACAGGTACTTCTGCATAAGCTGACTCAAAACAATATCTAAAATATAAAGAAAAGAACAGCCCAGGCACAGTGGCTCACATCTGTAAATTTAGCACTTTGGGAAGTCGAGGCAGGTGGATAATGAGGTCAGGAGTTCAAGACCAGCCTGGTCAACATAGTGAAACTCTGTCTCTACTAAAAATACAAAAATTAGCTGGGCATGGTGACGGGTGCCTATAGTCCCAGCTACTCAGGAAGCCGAGGCAGGAGAATTGCTTGAACCTGGGAGGCAGAGATTTCAGTGAGCCAAGATTGCTTCACTGCCCTCCAGCCGGGGCAACAGAGTGTGACTCTGTCTCAAACAAACAAACAAACAAACAAAAAAGAGTATTTTGGATTACATATTATCTAAAAGAAAATGACCAACCATAACACCAAATTCAGTACTATTATCAGAAAAGCAGTAATAGCCAGAAAAAAAATTACAAGCACGATACAAAAAAAGCTGGATTTATACAAGTATGATACAAAAAACTTTTCTGCATATAAAACATTTTTTGTTTTCTTTTGTTTTTTGTTTGAGACGGAGTCTTACTCTGCTGCACAGGCTGGAGTGCAGTGGCATGATCTCAGCTCACTGCAACCTCTGCCCCCTGGGTTCAAGTGATTCTCCTGCCTTAGCCTCCCGAGTAGCTGGGATTACAGGCATGCACCACCACACTCGGCTAATTTTTGTATTTTTAGTAGAGACGGGGTTTCACCATGTTGGCCAGGCTGGGTTCAAACTCCTGACCTCAAGTGATTCACCCGCCTCAGCCTCCCAAAGTACTGGGATTACAAGTGTGAGCCACTGGGCCCGGCCACATTTGTGTTTTAAAGTAGCACTGAGCCAGGTGCAGCAGCTCATACCTGTAATCCCAGCACTTTGGGAGGCTGAGGGCAGGAGGATCCCTTGAGCCCAGGAGTTGGAGACCAGCCTGGGCAACACAGCAAGACCCGACTCTAGAAAAAATAAAAAATTAGCAAGGCGTGGCGGTGCCCTCTTGTGGTCCCAGCTACTTTGGAGGCTGAAGCAGGAGCATTGCTTGAGGCCTGGAGGTTGGGGTTGCAGTGAGCCATGATTGTACCACTGCACTCAGCCTGGGCAAGAGTGAGACTCTGTCTCCAAAAAATAAAAATGAAAAATAAGGTAGCAGTGTATCTTCGCTTGCAGCTCCTATCAAAATAAAAAAGAAACAAAAATAAACACAAGTAGCACTGTACTCCAAATTTGATGTCTAAATATATAATACTCAAAACCATATGTATCTTACTCTGAATCACCTTCAACTACCAGCAATAAATGGTATTTTATAAAATATAACTGTAAGTAAAATACATACTGTTTCATTATCACCAAATGTAAACATGTAAAGACTAAATCAAGGCCGGGCGCAGTAGCTCACGCCAGTAATCCCAGCAGTCTGGTAGGCCTAGGCGGGTGGATCACCTGAGGTCAGGAGTTCGAGACCACCCTGGTCAACATGGTGAAACCCCATGGCTATTAAAAATACAAAAAAATTAGTTGGGCATGGTGGCGGGTGCCTGTGATCCCAGCTATTCAGGAGGTTGAGGCAGGAGAATTGCTTGAACCTGGAGGCGGAGGTTGCAGTGAGCCAAGATTGTGCCACTGCACTCCAGCCTGGGTGACAAGAGTGAGACTCTGTCTGAAAAACATTTTTAAAAAGTACATCAAGTTCATTGCTGCTAAATGTAAAAACTGTTAAATCTGCAAAAAGATGTTAGACACAAAAGGGCAAATATTGTATAATTCCACTTATATGAGATACTGACAATAGTCAAATTCATAGAGATTTAGAGTAGAGAGGTTACCAGGGGCTGTGGGAGGGGAGATGGGGAGATTAGTGAGTACTGAGTTTATTTGAAATGATGAAAAAATTCTAGAGATAATGGTAATGCTTATACAACCATGTGGAATATACTTAATGCCAATGAATTGTACACTGTAAAATGTTTAAGAGTTTTACAATAATACATCACAGATGCCCATCAAAGGCTTAAATGATTTTAGTTTACAAAAATGATCAATAGCGATTAGCTAACTAGTCTTTCTAGCCCACTATTTTCAGTCTGTCATATACATTAAAAAACACCTCAACTGTAAATTGAAGCTAAATAACCTCTTCTGGTTCAAAATAGGGTTCTTATTAAAAGCCTAGGAAAGCCAAATGTATATTAATCCCGAATCAAATCAGGAGGAAAAAAAGTTTAGAATTTGCACTTGTTGCAAAAGCAGCATGGAAGAGGAAAAAGTAAAGATCCACAGGTGGCAGGGCGCAGTGGCTCAAGCCTGTAATCCCAGCACTTTGGGAGGCCGAGACGGGCAGATCACAGGGTCAGGAGATCAAGATCATCCTGGCTAACACGATGAAACCCCATCTCTACTAAAAAATACAAAAAACTAGCCGGGCAAGGTGGCGGGCGCCTGTAGTCCCAGCTACTCGGGAGGCTGAGGCAGAAGAATGGCGTAAACCCGGGAGGTGGAGCTTGCAGTGAGCTGAGATCCGGCCACTGCACTCCAGCCTGGGCGACAGAGCGAGACTTCGTCTCAAAAAAAAAAAAAAAAAGATCCACAGGTACACCTTTAGAACCCTGAGCAGCACGGCTGCTTCATTACAGAGGCTCACTTGAAACCCGGGGGGTGGAGGTTGCAGTGAGCCAAGATAGTGCCATTGCCCTCCAGAATAGCAACAGAGCAAGACTGTCTCAAAAAAAAAAGTGTGGCTGGGCGCGGTGGCTCATGCCTGAAATCCCAGCACTTTGGGAGGCCGAGGTGGGCGGATCACGAAGTCAGGAGATCGAGATCATCCTGGCCAACACGGTGAAACCCCGTCTCCACTAAAAATACAAAAATTAGCCGGGCGTGGTGGCGGCACCTGTAGTCCCAGAGGAGAATGGCGTGAACCCGGGACATGGCGCTCACTGCAAGCTCCAGCCTGGGCAACAGAGCAAGACTCAGTCTCAAAAGACATAACATAACATAACATAAAACATAACATAAAATGTATGTAAAAACACCTTGGCCGGGCGCAGTGGCTCACGCCTGTAATCCCAACACTTTGGGAGGTCAAGCTGGGAGGATCATGAGGTGAGGAGTTCAAGACCAGCCTGGCCAACATGGTGAAACCCCCGTCTCTACTAAAAATACAAAAACTAGCCAGGTGTGGTGGCAGGCACCTGTAATCCCAGCTACTTGGGAGGCTGAAGCATGAGAATTGCTTGAACCTGGGAGCTGAAGGTTGCAGTGAGTTGAGATCGGGCCACTTGCACTCCTGCCTGGGTGACAGAGCAAGAAGCCGTCTGGATGGGGGAGGAAGCACACCTTGAACATATATAAACTTTGTCCCCCAAATAATCTATATCTTAATATTAGGCAATAACACTAGCAAATCATAGGCTTATATTCTCTTCAAAATGCCCAATTTCATATCTCAGACATGACTGATCAATTTATACACTCTTACACCTAGGTATGTATGTGCGTGTATCATTAATGGCAGGATATAACTAACCCATTTGAGGATGGCTATCTGGGCACAGTGGTTCACACCTATAATCCCAGCACTTTGGGAGGCTGAGGCGGGGGAAGGCTGCTTGAGCCCACCAGTTTGAGACTAGCCTGGCAATATACTGAGATTCTGTCTCTACAAAAAACTGAAAAAATTAGCGAGTGTGGTGGCATGTGCCTATAGTCCCAACTACCCAGGAGGCTGAGGTGGGAGAATCGCTTGGGCCCAGGAGGCAAAGTTGTAGTGAGCTGAAACTGTGCCACTGCACTCCAGCCTGGGCAACAGTGAGACCCTGTCTCAAAACAAACAACAACAAAACCCAGAATAGCTGAATAAATAGCAGCTTAGTGTAAAAGCCAAAACTCATGACCTTCAGTTCCTCTTAAGATCTGCACCCTGATCTCTTCTGACCGTAGCTCCATCATGGGCTCTAACCACAGTGGACTCTGCTCTTTCTGAAACATTAGGCATGCTCCTTACAGCCTTTGTAGTGGCTGTTCCCACACCGGGAGGACTCTTCCCCCAGGTATCTGCATAACTAAGTCCCCTGCAGGTCTCTAAATATCACTTCTTCATTGAGGCCTACCTTGGGCCCCTATATAAACCTGTATCTTCCCCTCATGCTATACACAGATAATCTCCCATCATTGCCCTTTATCCTGCTCTAGTTTTCCCTTTATCCACAGCAGGTGACACTATCTAGGAACTTACAAGAGGTACTTATTTCATTTCTCACTTACTGTTTTGTCTAAAATGTAAGATCCACTGGAAGGATCCTGTTTTGTTCACCCATGAATTACAAGCCCCAGAATAGCATGTGACCCATGGTAGGCACTTGATGAAAATGTGTTGAATAGGTTGGGTGTGGCGGCTCATGCCTGTAACCCTAGCACGTTGGGAGGCCAAGGTGGGTGGATCACCTGAGGTCAGGAGTTCGAGACCAGTCTGGCCAACATGGCAAAACCCCATCTCTACTAAAAATACAAAAATTAGCCAGGTGTGGTGGTGGGTGCCTGTAGGCCTAGTTACTTGGGAGGCTAAGGCAGGAGGACAGCTTGTGTCCGAGGGACAGAGACTGCAGTGAGATGAGATTGCACCACTGCATTCCAACCTGCGTGACAGAGCGAGACTTTATCTTAAAAAAAAAAAAAAAAAATTGTTGAATACATGACTAGTAGGGCTCTTAAATGCTTAGCCAACATGAACTAAAAACATAATTAGACACAATCTAGAAAATCTAGTTTTCTTTTTTTTTCGAGATGGAGTCTCGCTGTGTCACCCAGGCTGGAGTGCAATGGCACAATCTCGACTCACTGCAACCTCTACCTCCCGGGTTCAAGCAATTCTCCTGCCTCAGCCTCCTGAGTGGCTGGGATTACAGGTGCCTGCCACTATGCCCAGCTGATTTTTTGTATTTTT